CTGGAAGAAAGAGTGGTTTTTTCTGAATTTTTATTTTCATTGAGGCTAGTTCAAAAAGAAGTGTGACTAGTAGGATCTTGATTAAAAATAGTTCAACAGTTTCAGCTACTTATTTACCCTTCATTTGGCAAATTAAGGAGTTGGGAAAGAAAAGGATCACTTGCGTTTAACTGCAGTGCTTTCCCATTTTCCAAACAAATGGAGAGCAGTTCCTTTTAACCATACTTTTTTCCATCACCCAATTCTTTGCTGTTTCATATTTTATTGACTAATGTTTATTTTTTTCTAATTCTTGCCCAATGGAGACAATACCAAAGTTATGGTTATTGATTAATAGCTAGGGGAATAGTTTTAATTATTATTTGTGAAGAAGAATGGATCAACTAGTTCAACTAGTTAGTTATTAGAATTGGTTCAACTAGTAAATGGTTGACTTTTGCCTATTACTTTGAGATTTTGCTGCTTTTTGTAGTTAATATTCTTTCTACTGCTCATCATTGCTCTTAATATTCATGTGCAACAAGTTCAGAAACTTTCCTCTACAGAGGAATTGATTATTCTCTAAAATTTTATTTGAAAAACACTGTCATTAGGTTGTTCATGAGTTACTGAGTGAGAGAAAAGGTACAGCAGGAAGAATTATGTCACAGTTTCATCCCAGGTTCATTCTTTTTTCTACTTAATGAAGAAATTGACTAATGTGACTTTTAAAGCTTTTCCTGTTGAAGTGAGCACCTATATCATTGAGGGGCTTCATGTTTGATGGGTGGTGGGGGTGTAAGTATTTGAAACTTGTGAGAAGGATATAAGATTTGATTCCTTTTGCTTAACTTATCAAATTCACATGTTTTGTTGCACTCTTGGAATCATTGTGAATGACAGGAAAATGTTTTTCCCCCTTTAGATCACTCTCACCTGGAAATACCATCAACAAACCAGAAACCGAAGACCAGTCTGGCAGCATGCAGGACCTTCTGAATTTTCTGAAAGCACAGAGCCGAAAGAGAGCTCGAGCAACTGAGGTATATCAGCCAAATTGTCAGCCACATTACATTTTGCTTTTTTTTTAATACTTTTGAATTTTGATCATTTCTTGATTAATCTGACCATAGTTGACCAAAATTGCATAAATTCATTATCCTTGCAATCAATTCTCTTAACAATATTTTGAAGCGTAGAAGTTCAAAGTACTCTGTACCTTTCATCTTTTTTTATGTGGGTCCTTCTCAAAAGATCTACTTGTCAGGTTTTTATTCAGTCATGAAACAGTTTATGTATTTTGCTTGTATACTTATTGTAATTTCTGAACTTGAATTTGCTCCCTATGTTTTTTTTTAGGACAATGAGGACTCCAAAAAGCGAGTTCGACGGGATAGTTCATCTAGTTGTGATTCCAATGATGCACCTGCAACTGCCCCACCTGTGTCAATGCCAGCTTCATTTCCAATCAGGTTATAGTTTATTTGTCAATATCAAATGGAAGGTTCTCTTGACAGATACTTAGTTCAAAATGTTCTGCTGCTTAACTCATTGAATATTTTCCAGTCTCTTTCCTACCAGACCACAAACAATTTTTGTTATCAAACATATTCTTATGTTATTAGAAACTTCCTGAGAGTGAATTCAAAAGGAAGAAATTTAATTGCAGATAAATGGACAAAAGAGATTGTTTAATTTAATATCTATATGTGGGTTCTGTGAGGTTTTTGCAGAAATCAGCCTTGCAAGGCATGTTTGTTTATAACTTTCCTTGTTTCCACAGGACTGATGTCCCACCACCTCAAATTCAAGTGCCAGCTTCAACACCTCTTGTAACAGACCGAAAAAGATCTTCTGAGGCAATTACAGAAGCCTCATCCCCCATCAAAACGGCTACACCCAAGCGAAGGCGTATTGATGTTATTGAGGGCTCCTTGAGTTCCAGCCAGCGGGAGACCCATAAACGTCCAGCTGGTAAGATCCTTCTTCAGATGTGTAATTGCTACTGTCATTGGTACAGAATATACAAATTAGCAGTTGCCAAGTGCCAAATGGCTATTGGGAGTTTGGATTTGATTCGTACAGCAAACTCTTGGTTAAATTAATACCAGCAGGCCAAGCAATGCATGTGTATGCTTTAGTTCTTGGTCTGTTATAATTTATTATTCTCTGTCTTGAGTAACAGTCCTTGGATGGATACTGCTTGTTTTTTTTGTGAATGAAATTCACATTTATCTTACTTATAGTTGTTCTCTATAGTCCTGAAAGAATAAGTACAATATGCTAATTAGATGCTACTATTTCAATGTAGTTACTGCCATTGGTTGTGTAGTGGCCCTTACCCATAAAAAATAAATCTTAATTTGCATGTAGAATAATTAGTATTGATGAGGAACATCAGAAGATGAAGAATTTCACATTTGGTTCAATCACACTCAGGGTCAGCAGCAATGACTCAGCGACAAAAATTAGCTCGTGGAGGTTCGTCAGAAACTCCAGCAACAGGAAAGTGGCAGTTGGAGGAATTCCCCGAAGGAACTCCACAGCTCTCTGCTGAGAAGGAAAAAACTTCCTCTGCTGAAACTAAAATGGTAAGAAGTGCCACACCTCTTTCTTTTTTAATTTTCAGTTGTCTTTGTTTAAGCATACTCTATTAATATATATATATATATATATATATATATATTGCGTGTTTACTTCTAGCAGAAGGAGGAAGTGCAAACTCACTTTGGGCAGTCAGAAAAAGGAACACTGGGCAAGGGAAAATCAGGCACTGTGTTGGATGCAGGAACCCCGAAAGATGTAACTGCAGCAAAGAAGATAGATGATCAAGAGAAAGAGGGATCCACTTCCAAGAAAGTGACACGATTAAGAAAACCAGGAGAGGAGTATCAAAGTCCCCTTCGTCTCCTTCCATTGATTCTTCCTTCTCTTGAGGATGTGGAGATGGATAAAGGGAAGGAAAAAAATCGTCTTAGCCGAATGCTTCGAGCATTTCAAGGTTTGTTGGCTTTTGCTGGTGTGCAGAACTCTGAAGGGTGGCCTAGTTTAGAAGTTATCTTAACCT